CCCCAAAACCCCAAAACCCCAAAACCCCAAAACCCCAATACTTGCAAAAGTTGTTGAAATATATTGTATCCTTGGAGAGATACTTGTTACATATAGGACATCTTCGAACCATCTCTATGATCTTAAAGAAGCATTCTAAGTGCATATTCTCATTGCAAGATGTTTGGAGATACACTCCTTGGACCTCTTTAAGCTTTCTGAAGAGCTTTAAGTGTTTTTGCTGGATCTGAGTGTACTCTAAGCTGGAATCTGATAAATTATTTGTACAATAATCTCAATTAAGCAGGTATTTAGATTTTGGGAATGACTTGGAATAATACTCCAAAATTCTCAATTTGTTCATTTTAGTTTTATAAATAGAAGGGATGTAAGGCCTTAAGAAATAAGATTGATGGATCATGTAAATACTAAATTGGCCTAGCTGCAAGAAAACAAAAAGTAACAGTAAGTAGATTCTCATGAAATAAGAATGAGATTCGTTTCCAAATATATAAAAATAATTCACAGTAAATGCCAAATGAAGACTTAAGCACACATTTATCAACCATTCATCCCATGACTTAAGCCCATTTCATACGTTTCTGAGTCTCAATTTGCTTCAAAGGCTGTAAATCACTAACATGAGCCAAAATGAGTTATGAAGGATGACAGTGTAAATATCATCATTCAATGAATCGAAGTAAGATCTAATATGGAAACTTCCAAGAATACATAAGTCCTGAAGGGAATGTAAAATAGCTATTGGTACAAGTAAGGATAATCATTGATTCATAGAGTTTTGAAAATACCTGAAAATAGTTATTCCAAACGTAATTTCACTTATAGAGAATCAGAGAATTTACTGATTAAAAATTTCTAGATTTAACAGTTCTTGAAGCTAAGTTATAATTTACTTAAAGCATATCATAATTGTGTGACATTACAACATTGATTCAAGCCAGAAGGATGAAAAGATAGAGGAATAAGGGAATATGAATGAATGTATGAAAACTGGAATCCAGCATTCTGAAGATAATCAAGCAAAAATCTCTGATTGTTGTAATGAATGATATCACGAAACAAATAAATCCAAAATTTTTGAATGCCATGTCTTCCTTGAGTCCTCGCTCATCAATATTCAACAAACCAGGAATTGAAAATATAAATTTTATAAAAATACATTGTTCAATTATTCAAATTAACAAGGGGTTTTGGGGTTTTGGGGTTTTGGGG